ACAAAAAAGTGTTTCCCAGGCCTGAAGCCATGACAAACAGCCATGGAGAAGCTCTGGGCTGCTAAAGGTCTGAACCAGCGACTGCCAAAGTGAAGAGGTGGCGTCTTTAGCACAGAGAGAGTGGGACAAAGAAAGAGCAACAACCAGGGTTAACATGGGTTTGGCTGTTTGACATGGAGAGGGTTAAAAGCAGCCAGAGGACTCAGACTGGATCCAGATGTGGCGTTCTTCCTTCTGGATGTGTTAGCATCTGTAGTTTATGTCATTGCTAGGAAAGAGGACATGATGGGAGGGGCAGAGAGCGGTTAGGAGCGGCTTACGGTGTCGGTTTGTGATTGGTCTCACTAGACCATCACAATCACATTATTCAGAAACGTAAATAATTATTCCAATTTTTTTTGCCATGTTTTGAAGTTGGTTCTCATTTATTTGCAGTGATCGGTGTGTAAAGTGAAACAGCAGCAGTCAGACGGTACCTTCATCTTGTATTTCTCCACCTGGTTTTCATGCTTTCTGATTGATGATTTCAGCTGACGAGCTTCGGACTGAAGCCCCCGGAGCTTCTCCTCAGATGACGTCAGCTCACTCTAAACAGGATGTATGTTTATAATACATTTCCTTTCGTCCACAGAAATGATGACACAGCAGAAGCAGAATCTGTCAAAATTCTGATAATTTATCAATATTTTATGCAGCACATTTGCCAAGATAATCACACATAAGGCACTTCAGTAACGATGGTTCACGAACACTTGTTTTCCATAAAAACTCACATTGGATTAACTACTGTTTAAATTGTTATGGGAAACCTCAAACCTGCTGTGGACATTTTCTGAAGGTACCTTGAGTTTTTGGTTGTCCAGCTCGGCGGAGGCGTGTTCAGCGCTGAGGTGATGGAGCTGATCCCTGAGCTCCTCCCTCTCAACCCGACTCTTCTCCTCCGCCGAACGGAGCTGAGAGCTCAGCTCGGCCACCTGCCTGTGATGGAAGCTTGTCTCAGGTTATTGCTGCCAAAGAAGTTCACTCAGCTATTACCTCCACCAGCACTGTTTGTTTAATGGGTGTGTTAAAGAAAACACACATTATTGTTTGTTTGTTATTATTTTAAGCACGTATTTGTCTGTAGTTGTGACTTAGATGAAGATCAGATCACATTTTACTGCAGAAAACCACATCATTTGTTTTATACTCTGCACCATTTTGGCCCACTTAGCTTTGTCACTTTGTGGTGGTGATTCAGTAAAAGTTATTATTTGATGAATAAATTAGATGTGTTTCTGGGTGCACTCACAGTTTATGAGTGGAGAGTTCCTCTTCCAGCTGTGTTCTAGCAGCTGCCTCTTTAGTGTGTCTGCGGCACCAGTCGCTGGATGTGGACAGAGCTTCAGCCAATTGGATTTCCTTCAGGATAAAACGCACAAATTGTCTCCAGGTTATTTGGCATGTTTTAGACTTGGAATTATTTCACACCTGGAACTCATTTATATTTGGGGGAATACAGTACTGTGCAAATGTTTTAGGCACTTCAGATGCTTAGATTCTCATTCACCACAGACCATCAGGAGACCGTCTGATTGGTCCCAGATTCATCCTGTAGCTTCACACTGAGCCTAAACCTGCAGCCAGAGCCATAAAGCACTATCTACTGCAGGAGTCCTGTAGTAGATAGTCTGGCCCCCCACAGGGCCCTGACCTCAGCATCATGGAGTCTGTCTGGGATCACATGAAGAGACAGAGACACTGAGACAGCTTGAATCCACAGAAGAACTGCGGCAGCTTCTCCAACAACTGACCTGCCCAGTACCTGGAAAAATCATATGCAGGTGGACTGAGGAGACCTGGGGCTGGATTAAAGACAAAGAGGGGTCACAGCAAACAGTGACAGATTTTTTTGTTTCTGTTCATGGCCTTACTTTTGAAAGCATCCTCACTGTGTTTAGTGTCTAAAACTACAGACACTGTAGGAGCTCCTGATGAAGGCGTTACATGCAAACAGGAGAGCAGGTACAGTAGAAACTACAGGACAGGAGTTGCAGTGAAGTTAAACTCAACAAGCAGGAAACTACCACAACATGTATTAGTGCCTGCTGTATGTACTGTACACACTCAGCGAGGCAGCGAGTCCTCACTTCTGTATTTGGTGGTTGGAATACTGCCACTGAACCAACACACTGGCTGAACTTCCTCTGGACTTGAGTGACATAAAAGTGTGTGATCAAACAACATGTCAGTGTGTGTGGCTCAGCCTAAAGAACGTAATGGTTTGGAGACACACCTGTCTTTGATGGTTTGTGTGACAATGACCCTCCTTTGTACTGGAGCTGCAGAAGTCATAAAACATTGTACAAGTCTTGGGCCATGACATACTGTAGAAGATAGGGAACCAGTCACAGCTGCAAATTTCTAAGAAATCTGCCATTAAACAGAAATGACAGTGAGCAACCCTGGGGCCTCTGGGTAGTTGCTGCATTCTAACATTTACCTGTTACATTGCAGATATACATCTGGGGACTGAGGGATCCTGTGCCTCATCCACCACTCTGCTGCTTTGGGATTTACTGTGGTGTAGACCTGTGCTGTCGGCAGCTCTGCACACTGACCTTCTCCTGAAGTTTTTCTGCGAGCTGTCTGACCGACTCCTCGGCTCGCTCAGCCTGCTGGGTCAGCTGGGCCACAGCTTCCTGGTCTTGTCGCCCCTGCTCCTTCTCCTCCCTCCGCTGCCTTAGAGTTTGTAGTTCCTCCTGCAGAGCCTGGAGCTCCTGGTGCAGCTGCTCGTGGCTCTGCTGCATCCTCTGTCCCACACAGAAAGGAGGCGTAGCCATTTACAGACCAGATAAGGGCAAAGTTAAAATGTTTAAATGTCCTTTTTTCAGAAAGCAGCTACATAAAAAGAAACCCGTTCAGTGTCATACGTGAATCATTCTCTTTTGTTGCGTTCACACATATGGATTCAAAAGGGTGCGACAGCTGCCATTCATCGTGAATGACACCTGGCTCTGCAGCCCCCCCCCACCCCCCAGAGCTCAACAGATTCAAAAAAGCACCCTGCTGCACCACAAGGGAAGGTTGAGGAACGCTCAGCTTTATGAAAACATCCTCTGATGCATGTGTGAAGCAGTCGCCATCGTCTCGATTCCAACAAAAAGAGAAGCACAGAGTTGTTCACTGCTCTACTCCACCACATGAAGGACGTTTAGACAAAATGGAGGAAAATCTCATCGTCGTTGTCTCCAACAAGTTACTGGGGCATGAAAAAGAAGAAGGACGTGCAGAAACAAAACACCCACAACTGTCCAGTCAGAGCAGACTATGTGAAGTCCAAGCTCAACACAACTCACCCCCAAAGCTGCAGATTCACCACATACAGCAGCTACTTTGAATCCGTCCGTGTGAATGCAGCATTAGTGCAAATGCTGTGAGCATTGCAAACTTATTTAATTTCTCTTTCATTTTATCCTGTGGAGTCAGAAATCTCAGACAGATGTGAACCAGCAGTGGAAATACTGTATTATTAGTCATCTGACTGACTCTTTTCAGGACAGTGGTGTTAAAGCCTTACAGAGTCACTTTGCTTAGTCACTGGTCATTTCTTCTAACACCAACAACTACATCACACTGTCAGCGTGTGATGGGCCAATAAAAACAAATGGTCCACGTGTGATGGTACAGGCGTGTGTGGGTTTTATTGTGTCGTATCTCCACACACCTGAATGTGAGCAGCCAGATGAGTCTTTTCAGCTTCTGCTCTGTTGAGCTGAGACTCCAGATGGTCACGAGTTGACTCAAAGATTCTTGAAAGCTCCTTCGTGGTTTTCACATTGTCCTACAATGACAGAAGAAAGCAGAGGGCGAGAGGGACCTTAAATTTGTCTATGCCTCTGTGGAAGATATTATACTTTCTTTTTGCTATGACAAACTGCAGGTAACAAACTTCCAGTCATAATTCTTCACCTTTTCAAAGTCCAAATGCTCAGCAAGCTTAGATGCCTCTTTCTCCTTGTTGGTGAGTTTGGCCAGAAGTCGCTGTAACAAAATCAGACAAACAAGGACAAACTCCAGGGACATTACCTAATGGCAGATGAGCGTGTGCATAAAGGGGAAAGCAGCAGTGTGTGTCACTCACAATGTTCTCTGCTTCGGTGTCGATCAGTCTCCTCTTCAAGGCTTCTTTCTGTTCTGACAACACCAGTGACTCTCTCTGCAGACACACCAACACAGAATCCGACCAACAGTAAGAGGAGAGGTTCTACATGTCAATGTTTGTCCTCCCTGAGCTGAGGTGATCACCTCACTTGAAGAGTTACAGATTTTCAATGTAATTTTTGGCATAAGCTCACAGTTTAGATGCACTATTCTTGCAGTAAAATCAACTAAAAAAAGCACAAACTGAATTATTTGAATAAAAAATTAAACAGCTGTGAACACAACTGGGGTTGCCTCGATAGCCAAACGGCCACAGTGTGGCACGCCACATACAAGCATAGTGTGCATGACGTCAGTGGTTTGAGTCTGACTGCCGACCTGTGTCGCAGGTTCACTTCTCTGCCTCCCCTCCTTCCTCTCTGCAATTCACTTACCCCATAAAGATAATGAAAATAAAGGCAAAACAAATTTTTTAAAAAGTTGTGAATACACTTAAATTTAATTATTAATCTAATGAATGCTTCCATTATTATTTAATAAGCCAATTATTTCAGCAGTTCTAGATATTTCATACACAGAGAAATAAAAGAGAACAGCATGAAACATTTGAGTAGGACAAATCAGTAAATGTTTGGCATTTTTGCCTGATAAATGATGGAAACAACAAACATGTGGTATGGTGCATAAAGCTCCAGCTGGGGCTTTGACAGAGGCTCAAACGGCACAACCGTCCTGTACCTCATGTTCGCTCCACTCTCTGAGGAGATCTCGAAGGCTGCGGTTCGTGTGGTCAAACATCTCTATCTTCTCTAACAACAACCCCTGCTGTCGACCCAGTGCAGCTGCGTGCAACTTTGACAGCTGCTTGTCCTAAGACAATAAATGAATAAATAAAAACACAATCATGTGCAGCAAAGTAAGTCCTCTGTTCATTCATCCTGCATCTGTACTTCATCCTCCTCTCCAGATGTGCACCCAAAATGATTATTTGGAGCCAGATTTACCTTAGCGAGGCTGTCAGTAGTTTCCTTCAAAGCTGTCAGCTGATTAGCTACTGCTACACCGTCGATTTCTGCTTCCACGAGTGCCCTCAGGAGCACATCTGTGTCTCTGTGTTGACCCCCAGAATCTGACCTGAAGCAAGAGAAAAAAAAAAACCTGAAATGCCAACATGTGCATACAGCTTGGAAGGTTAAGTTGCAGCAGAAAGGCATCTCATAAGAGCATTTTGTCAACTTTTCTGATGATAAATCTAAACCCACCTATGTATATTACCACAGTGAAACTCTGGTTTCATGTACTGCAGCTACAAATGCTACTGCAATGCTACTACAGAAAGCTGCTGAACTGGTTCTTACTTCTTTAAATGATGCTCTCTGAGTAGGACACTGAGGTTCTTGGATACTGCAGCCAGCTCATCTTCCTGCTCCTCTCCAACATCCCTACTTTCTGACTGATGCTGTACTCGATGTCTCTGATCCTAAGACACAAACAAACTGAATTCATGTTCAGTAAAACACACAGATAACAATGAAATTCACATCTTTAGAAAAGCTCCAAACTGAATTCTGACAACAAAATGTAAATCAAGGCTGTAGAATAAACAATAAACCCCTGTAGTGAATTCTGCAAAACCAAACGGGGGCTAAGGGAAAACTATTCAACCATTGAAGCATTTGAAGTATTTATTTAGTTCCGCCTAAATCCCCGACCAGAAACATGCCGGCATCAACATCCTTTACTTGTTTGGAACATGTTTATTCACTTATTAATTTCAAATAATTTGAGAAAAAACACTGCAACAGCATTCAATGTTAATTCATCACCAGTCTTACTTCTTGACTTCTCACAGGAGTCAGATTTCTGCTCTTTGTGTTTATGTTTCACATGAGAAATCACACAAACTGGACAGCAGCTAGCTCAGATTATCACTTCTGTTTAAATGCAGTTTAATTCCCGTCTTTGTCTATACTTAGCACTCAGTCCAAATCCCTAACAGAATATCCCTTCTTCTCCCCAACTGTATTCACTTCCCAGCATATTTGTTAGCGCTGGTTGAAAACATGGCAGTGGGAGAGAGAGAGACCGACACTTGTATGAGCTCACATTTCTTCGACAGGACAGTTTTCCTGGTGGAATCCAAGGCATCCTGACCTTTGACCTCCCTCCATCTTGCTTCACCTTGACATCTTTTGCCCTGTTCTTCAGAAAAAAAAGAGAGATAGTTCAACATAAAACACATTATAGCACCCTCATCCTCTAATTTAGCCTATTGTTGCAAAAGCTTTAAAAAGCATGGGAAAAAAATACAAGGTACTGTCATGGACGTCTTATGACACAATAGGAGGCACCACAGACATACATCCCAGCCCCCCCACTCCCACCTAGGAGCAAAATCCCTAGAATGAAAGAGACACAAAGCACAGGAAGTAATTCTGCTTTCTAATAAATCAGTGCAGGTTATGCACATTAGCTGTAATGTTCATGTCGGGTACTACGCAT